AATGCAAAATGGCAGCAAAAATTTTATATAGAATAAAAACACACACACGCACACACACACACACACAATCAAACATGACGTTGTTGATAAGTTTAAATTTTTCCTTTTTTTTTTTTTTTTTTTTTTTTTTTTTTTTTAAATAATCCACGTCGAGTGTAAATAGTTAAATTATTATTATTATTATTATCATTAAAATTTTAAACCGGTCGTTATTATTATTATATTAAAAATTTTATTACGTTGTTATGTATATAATAACAAATAAATTTTTTAAAAATAATAATCATCACCATTATTATTTATTTATTTATTTATTTTAAACGACGCAAAAAAAGGAATGGAACCTTTATGGAAATAAATAAATAAATAAAGGAAAAATATACGTAATAAATATTTTCCATACCTTAAAAAAAATTGTTGTTGTTGTTTTAAAAAATCTTTTATTTTTATATTTTTATTTTAAACATTTTTTTTTTTTTTTTTTGAATTAAGTAATTAATTTCACTCGAATGCTTATTTTTTTCCTCCACTAATTATTTAATAAAAAACTAAAACTAAAACTAAAATAATAATAAAAAAAAAAAATAAATTTTAGCCGTGATATAGAACGATATGAAAACGATGTTGCTTTTTTCACGCAACGACTAAAACTGGACAACAACGTGAATATAAATATATAAAAGAAAGACGTTTTGAAATCAGGTGTCTGTTCACGTCTTATTTTACCTTCTCTTTCTCTTTTTTTCACTTTCTCTTTCTTTCTCTCTCTCTCTCTCTTTTTATGTTATTAAAATAAATTCACTTTCATTTTCTTTCTCTCTTTTTATTTTTTTTCTCCATTTATGTCGACTTGGATTGTTTGTTGTAAAACCAAATAAAAATTTGCAAATAAAAAAAAAAAAAATTAAAATGAGATCGAAATCTTAAAATCGATTAAAATTTAATTATTATTATTATTATTATTATTATTATTATTATTTTTATTTATTATTATCAGTTATTAAAAAAAAAAAATTGTTATCGTTCGTTCGTAACATTTGAGCCCAATATTATTAATAAAATCTAAAACTAATTTTTTTAAGCCCTCAAATCAAAATGAGAGAGAGAGAGAGAGAGATGATTTCGAGACATTAAAAAGAGAAAGTAATTAATTATTATTATTATTTAAAAATAAAAAATTTATTATTTACCAATAATAAAAATAAAAAATTTAAATTTTCTTCTTATACGATGATAATGTTGTGAAAAAATTATTGTGTGAAACAATAATTTTTATAACAATTTATTATTAACAAAAAAAATATTTGACACAACATGTTGTTATGTTTATGTTTATGTTTATGTTCAAAAAAATTGCAATCCAATAAATTTAATTGTAATTTTTTTTCTCTTCTTATGTAACATATAAAAAAATAAAACTTTTATTTCTGTTTTTTTTTTTCTTTCTGTTTTTTTCTTCTTTTCTGTTATTTAGTTCTTCATAAAATCCATCGTTAAAAATTAATAACAATCATGTTGTCATTTGTTAACATCTTGTCATTTAACAACATTTGATTTTATTTATAAAAAAAAAAAAAAATTATAAGGATTTAATTGATTAATAAATGTAAAAATATTTTTTAAACAAAATTCATATTTAAACAGTATCAATGTAATCTTCTTAACTTTGTCTTCTGGAAAAGTAAAATTTATTTTATTAAAAATGTAAAAATTTTTAAATTTGAAAACCTACTACACGAGGGTAATGTTAACAAATAGTATAGCAAAAAAAAAAAAAAAAAAAAAAAATTGATGAATCATGTGTGATCAAACATACCTATTAAAAACACTATACTTACAAGAAAAATCGATTAGAAAAATTTTGATACTTGCCATAGTCAGGTCTTTGGGAAGACTTATAAGCCTATTCCTTTATCTTTTGATTGTGAATTGTTTTATCTTTTAATCAAGGATGTATAAAAGTAATATTTAAACCTTCTGTTTTACTGTTGCTGATCTGAATCAGGTAAGAAAAGTTTGTATGAAAATTTTTTGTTTTTTTTTTTAATATATATATACATATACTTACATATGTAATGGTAATAAGTTAAAAAATTTTGTGTGTTTTCATTTTATGCATCATATATATTGAATAGTGATTAAAAAAAATATATATTTTTAATTAATGATTTATAAAAATCTTAAAAAGTATTATTTATTGGTATAATATTGTTATTTTTTTTTTTTTTACTTCTGTAGTGATACGTGAGAAATCATGTCTTATTTAAATATTGTGATTTATTGCATTTTGGTATACGTATCACTTGTCACACTGTTCACACATGCGAACGTAATTTCGAAGGACAATGTTCCAATAAAAGTTGATATTATACCATCGGAATATGATTTATTCGTTGAAACAACTGAAAAACATTATCAAGATGCCAAAGAAAATGAAGAACTTACATTTAGAGGAACTGTGAAAATTAATTTTACGTTTCATTTACTTCCGCCTAAGAAAAGTTTTTTTTTCCTCATCAATGCTTCTCCTAAAACCGTTGTCAACAATGTTGAAATTATGGGTAAATAAATAATTTTCAACACGCATTCATATAATATTTGCTTTATAAAAAAAATACGTTATAAAATTTGAATTTAAATAAGAGGTTTATTACCTCTATGAAAAATTCAATTCAATTTCAATTAGTAGTAATTGATATTTTTTTTGTTACTTAAAACCGTAAAACTAATAATTTATTATTATTTTCTCGAAACGTTTTTAAATTAAAACATCTTGAAATTATATATATTTTCCAAAAAAAAATAACTTCGTAAATAATTGTTTTGTGTAATAATAATAGAGAAATCGCGGGAAATCAATCGTACGTTTAGATTTTTTTAAAATCACAGAGTAAATAATCGATTTTCGGGTAAAACGATTTTTATTACTCTATGATATAATTTTGTTTGTAATAATAAAATGGAGTCAAAGTTGAAAAATTTACATTATCTAAAAAAATATCTTATTAACAATTCAATGTATATTTTATCAAAAAAAAAAAAAAAATTATTATTTACTACTTATCAGTTTATTGATAATATGATAATCAAATGATTTCAGTTGATACTTAAAATTGTTTTGTAAGATTTATTTCAATAGATATAATATCTGAAATTTCTACCTAATATTTTTAAATAACTATATGATTAGTTTTTTTTTTTTTTTTTATTTTTTTAAACGATTACATTTTTTCATAAAAAATTATTTTTTTATCAATTTTATTTCTGGTTTAATTATTGGCATATCATCGTAATACTTATTACGTAATAAATTTAATTTTAGGCAAAAGCGAGTATAATTCTACTAAATTGAATGATTTTGAACACGATCTTGCAAATGGTGTACTCACAGTTCAATGCAAAGACTCATTCAAACAAGATTATGATTCATATCAAATTATCATTGATTTTGAAAACACATTTGGAAATGATATGTCTGGATTTTACAGAAGTTCTTATACAGGAACAGATGGAAAAAAGAGGTTTAATCAAAATTTCAATTTTAGTATTAATTTTAATACTCTTATTAATGAACTAATATACTTTCTGTCAAAAAAATACTTTTTTTTTTTTTACTTTATTTAATAAAAAAATTTCATGCTTTAAATTAAAAAACTAATCGTCTGACTTTAAATGTTTCAGGTGGTTGCTTACTACTCACTTTGAACCCATATTTGCAAGGAAAGCTTTCCCTTGTGTAGACTGGCCAGCTTTCAAAGCTCATTTTAAAGTTTCGATTTCATATCCGAAAGCTTTAGAAGGATACCACGTTTTGTGTAATACTCCAATCGAGAAGTAAGTATACTTAGTTTTTAACAGAAATTTTATTGAAGGAATAAAATTCATTAAATTTAATTAAAATATTTTTTTCATTTATATATTAAATGTTTATTATTTATAAAGATCTTACACAATCTTTGAAAATTTGTAAAATTTTTCATGTCTTTTAAATTTTTTATTTTTAAAAAAATTTTTTTTCCAAATCGCAGGGTTTTGAAAAACGGTGAAAATGTGACTGTTCAATGTGCCAAAACATCGATTCCTATGTCAACTTATTTAGTTGCATTTACTATATCTGATTTTGCTAAAACAGAATCGCTTGAATTTGAAAGCAAATATCCAGAAGCAATGAGTCCTAAAAGATTCATCACAACATATGGTAGAAATGACACAATTCGAAAAGGTCATGCTCATTTAAGTCAGAAAGCAGGTTTAAATGCTGTCAAAGAACTTGGAAAATACTTACAAACAGGCTATGCTTTTGAAAAAGTTGATCAAGTGGGAATACCTGATTTCTCAGCTGGTGCCATGGAAAATTGGGGTCTTATATTATTCAGGTAAAATTTTACAATTAAAAGCAGTATTTAAACAAAAATTACTTTAAATTTATTATTATATATATATATATATATATTGTTATATTCGGTTCGTTCTTTATTTTTGTAAGTAATGAACAAGCACTTAAAACTATCACAAAACTAATATTAATAAACAAGAACTTATTACAGCTAGACTAAAAATCAAAATGAACCGACGCCAAGCGGTGTAGCTTGCCTATATTACTTTGGTCTTTCGTCAGTCAACTGTTTCGAACGAGCAACAATGGGAACTAGCAAACACTTGCAAATAAAATAAAAGAAGGAGTCTTTAGAAGCTTCGCTTCTAAAGAAGAACAATTCGAGTTCGTCGCCAGTCTTTTGTTTATAAAAATTTGAAAATGTGAATATTGAGTACGGGATCATAACACCTCCCCCCTTAAGACGGAAAACAATTATTTGAAAAAGAATTTGTTTTCTCCTCTTGTTTGGATTTGACAGCTTCCTATGTCGGGTTCTGAATGGTTCCGTCCAGGTTGAAACTCCTTGAGTAGTAGTAGGTGCTATGTCTTCTGTATGGTAGACTGTTGTATCTCTTCACATTGGCTTCTTATCAGGAACATAATTTTAAGCTTTATAGCTGCAAGTAGTAGAACCTTTCCTAGGCAATACTCGTTAGTGAACAAAGAGTAAGGGTAAAAGAATAAAATCAAGAAACATGAAATTCGAAACAAAATTGACATAAGTTCTGGAAAAATATAAAAATTTTATATAGGAAACATAAATAATGATTAGAAAAAGAATAAATGGATTAATAATAAAATAAATGATGATTAGCTGTATGGGAAAATAAAAGGATTAAATTATTATTATTTTGGATTTCTCTCTCTTTAGATCAACTACTCAGAACACGGTTTTGTGTTGTTAACTTCCTTGTTACGGATTTTTAATAAAACATTTTTGCCAGATTTTTTCTTGACCTCGTATGGATCTTTAAATTCAGGACTAAGTTTTTTATTTAGATTTCCTCTTGCTAATTTTTGACTGGTTTGAATCTTCTCTTTTTCATTAGACGATAGGTGAACTTTACTTAGTAAAAATAGCTTTACCTCAGGAATACTCTCTTCGTGAAAATCGGTTGACATAAGAATGGATGCTTTCTTCCTAGATTTCTTGGTACTGGAATTCCATTTCCGCTTTTTAGTATGCTTCCCAAAATTATGCTTGTGAATTTTTTTAGTAGCTCCTATATTTTTATTTGAAATTTTTGTTTCCTTTTGAATTTCAGCTTTAGGATGATTTTTAGGTTTTGAATTCTGTATGGATGATCTTTCTTCTTTTACTTTTAGACCTTTTTTCTTATTTTTATTTTTAGGAAGTAATGGTGCTTCTTTAGCCTTTTTCTTAGATAAATTTGTAGAGGGTGCTTCTTTAGCCTTTCTCTTAGATAAATTTGTAGAGGGTGCTTCTTTAGCCTTTCTCTTAGATAAATTTGTAGAGGGTGCTTCTTTAGCCTTTCTCTTAGATAAATTTGTAGAGGGTGCTTCTTTAGCCTTTCTCTTAGATAAATTTGTAGAGGGTGCTTCTTTAGCCTTTCTCTTAGATAAATTTGTAGAGGGTGCTTCTTTAGCCTTTCTCTTAGATAAATTTGTAGAGGGTGCTTCTTTAGCCTTTCTCTTAGATAAATTTGTAGAGGGTGCTTTTTCCTCTTGAGCAGGAATTGATCCTGGTAAAGAATCTGTTTTCTCTTTAACTTCAAGTTTGGATTCTGGTAAAGGATCTGTTTTCTCTTCAACTTCAAGTTTGGATTCTGGTAAAGGATCTGTTTTCTCTTCAACTTCAAGTTTGGATTCTGGTAAAGGATCTGTTTTCTCTTTAACTTCATTCAATTTTCGATAATCAATTACTACTCTCCATTTCTTCTCTCCAGAAGCATCAGATTTTTTTGGAACAACCCATAATGGAGACGACCAAGGAGAATTGGAAGGTCTTATAATGTTTTGTTTCAGCGTATCGGTCACCTGTTTGTTAACCTCTCTTTTGTGTATTTCAGGATATCTGTAAGTTTTAGTATAAATAGGATTTTCATTAATAGTATTGATTTTATGCTCAATTGCCTCTGTCGAACTTAAATAATCTCCGGGTAAGTGGAAAATATCGGAATAAGATTCACAAATTTTAACTGTTGATGTTTTTTCTTCTTCATTAAGATGCTCTAACCTCAAATGGTTACTTATTATTGATTTCCTTTTATGTCGTGGTTCTAGACTTTTTATTTGGAAACGCTGTTTTGAAGCTTTCTCAAGGCGAACTGTGATTGGTTCAATTGTTTCATCAGTCGTTCTTGTATTCAAAATGGTGGCGTAAGCCTCGTTGTTATTGTTTACTTTAACGATGGCACGTGACAAATAGACGCCTTCCATAATTTTTGTGTTATCTTCACAGTGGATACATGTTGATTTTTGTCTGCGATTAATCAATTCTTTTATCAGTTGACTATGGGGTTTCTTGTCTTGATATAATTCTATTAGTTTTTTTTTTACATCATCCCAATTATCCAAATCGTACAAAGAAATTCGATTCTTGGCATTACCAGTGATTCTGGAGTAGATGAATCTGAAGAGTGGATACTTATTCTCTTCAGAGGACAATTCGATAGCATTATCACAATCTTCAATAAATGCGTTAAGTTGGTTCCTTTCTCCGGAAAAGAAATTAGGAACTAGACTACACAAGAAATCAAGGGGTATTTGGGATGGGTTGAAAACAGGTTGATCAAGTTTAGGCATTGTTCACAAAATGAGTTACCTATTAACTACTACTTACAGTATAAAGAAATTCTGATAAAGAGTTAAAACCCACCAACATGAAACGAATTACTTAAGAATTCTCCGGTTTCTTGTCGTTCAGAATGATCCTTCATCGACTGCGCCAAAATTTTAATATGTTATATTCGGTTCGTTCTTTATTTTTGTAAGTAATGAACAAGCACTTAAAACTATCACAAAACTAATATTAATAAACAAGAACTTATTACAGCTAGACTAAAAATCAAAATGAACCGACGCCAAGCGGTGTAGCTTGCCTATATTACTTTGGTCTTTCGTCAGTCAACTGTTTCGAACGAGCAACAATGGGAACTAGCAAACACTTGCAAATAAAATAAAAGAAGGAGTCTTTAGAAGCTTCGCTTCTAAAGAAGAACAATTCGAGTTCGTCGCCAGTCTTTTGTTTATAAAAATTTGAAAATGTGAATATTGAGTACGGGATCATAACAATATATATTTTTTTTTTTTTTTCAGAGAAAAATCTTTGTTTATTAATGAAAAAAATGGAACAGTCGCACCGAAACAATCAAACATTTTAACAATTACTCATGAATTAGTACATCAGTGGTTTGGAAACTTGGTTACTCTTGATTCTTGGGATTACATTTGGCTTAATGAAGCTTTTGCGACTTATGTTTCATATGTTATCGCAGATAAGGTATAATTTAATACAAAAATTACTTTCAATTTTAATTTGATTCTTTATAACCAAATCGAAGAAAAAAAATTTTTTTCATTTTAAAAAACTCAAAAAAGACATAATTGTTTTAGTTAAATGAAATTGGAACTTCCGATTGGAAATATTTACATCAAATGTTGGTGAGAGAAGTTCATGCGAGAGCTTTTGAAACTGATGGTTTTGTCGCTTCTAAAGCCATGACACATCGCATTGGAAATGAAAATCTTATTGCGGCAGCTTTTAATGATGTTCCTTATGCAAAAGGTTGATAAAATTATGTAATTGTAATAGTTGTGTATTCTTTTACAATAATTATTTATTTGGAAAAAATATTATTTAAACTGGTTAAAGTATTATTTTCATGGCTGTTAACTTTTATTTTTTTTTTTTTTGTTTACTTTTAGGTGGATCCGTTTTGAGAATGTGGGATATGAGTCTCGAACCGGATACATTTCGAAAAAGTTTAGCTACTTACGTTAAAGTCAAGTAAGTGCGAAAATGATAAATTTAAATAATATTTAAATAATATTCGTTGGACTAACGAATAAATTTTTTTTTCAGTGCTCAAAAACCTGTAAACCCTAACGATTTGTATAATGCTTTTAAACAAGAGGCTAAAATGGATGTTAGATTTTTCGAAACCTGGCATTCGCAACCTGGATACCCGGTTGTTCAAGTGAAAAAGAATGGAGATAATTACACTTTAACTCAAGTAAGTTTTTTTTTTTTTTTTTTTTTTTTTTTTTTTAAATAAAAACTTCAACGTGTAAAAAATGTAAATTAACGCATTTTTTTTTTCATTTTTTTCAAAACCGATTCCTTTGGGAAGAAGCAAAAGCACCTGAAACATATTACATTCCAATTACGTATTCAAAAAAAGGTTCGAGTAATTCCCCGGGGGCAAAATATTGGTTAGAAAACGACCCACTTACAATCAATATATCTGGAAATTGGTTTGTTTTGAATAATCAACAAGCAGGTGATTTTCTTTTTTGTTAACATTTTAAATGATTCGATGACATTAACTGACTAAAAGCCACGATTTATTTTTCACAGGTTATTACAGAGTTAACTACGAAAAGAATCATTGGCTCGTACTTGCCGAAGTCCTACGTAAAACCCACGAAAAAATTCACGTCCTTAACAGAGCTCAGCTAGTCAACGACGTGTTCAGTTTAGCCAGATCCATACAAAAGGATTACATCGATTACAGTACGGCATTCACACTTTCAAGTTATTTGAAGGGAGAAAAAAGTTACGTCGTATGGAACACTGCTCTGAGAGCATTTGAATTTATGATGTCAAAATTATCACACGATGAAGTTTTAGACAAAAGGCTTAAGGTACCGTACCCCAAAATATTATTTGGTATAAATATATATATATATGTGTGTAAAAATTATTATTATTATTATTTGATGAGTGTTGAATTAATATTTTTTAGAATTACGTCTTGGATTTAGTTCAACCTCATTTTCAAGAATTAAACAGCACTCACGAAGAACATTTAGACAAACTTATGGCAGTTCAAATTTCCAGATGGGCGTGTTTATTGAATCATGTTCCTTGCGTTAAAAGAGCTATGGATTTATTCGAATCGTAAATAACATTTCAAAATGTTTCAGTGGAAGAGAAAGAAAAACAAAAAAAAGAAGAATTTATTAAATTTAAAATGTTTTGTTTTTTATTTAAGAGCATCCAAATATCCGGAAACGGAAGAAGTCATTCTCTGCACGGCTATAAGAACAAACGCTAAAAATTGGGACAAAGTTTTTGACATGTACAAAGATGAGAAAGAAAGTTCTAGAAAACTCATGTATTTGAACGTGTTGGGTTGCACGAACGATACGACAATCGCCGAAGAGTAAGATTAAATAATAAACATAATAATAATAATAATAAACAATAATTTATTATTCGCTTTAAAAATTTTAAAATTTTTCAGGTATTTGAACAAAACGCTCAAATCGGATTCGCACATACGTGAACAAGATTTAACATTTGCTCTATCCTCCGTATATAACGGAGCTTTTAAAAACGTTGAAGTAGCTTTTAAATTTGTCGAAAACAATTTCGAAACCATCTCTAAAAAGTTTGTATCGAGAAGAAGAAGAAGAAAAAAAATGTCGAGTCGCTTGGCATCCCATTGCGATCGATTCGATTTCCACGAACGAATCACAAACGAAAAATTTATTTATTTTTTTTTTTTTGTTTTCAGGTACGGTGGAATAAATCCTCTAGGTAGAGCCATCGAAGGAATAGCCGTTAAATTACATTCTCACGAATACATAGCGAGAGTAAGTTTCATTTGAAATTTCATTTATTTAAATAAAAATCGAAATTAAATTTAAAAAATTATTTTTTTTTTTTCCCCAACAGATGAAAACATTGATAGAAAAAGTTAAAAATTCACCGATAGCAAAAGTACCCCACGAAGTACTCGACAGCGCATTGAGCGTCGTCAAAAGTAACGAAGTTTGGTACAATAAAAAAGTAAAAGACATCAAAGTGTATTTCAGTTCGGGTTCGACGGCATCGCAAAGCATTCTCCTATTTGGACTCTGCTCGTTTTTTATTTATAAATTTCAATAATTTTTAATTAATGTAAGTTATTAAAACAGGAGAAAAGAAAAATTATTAGTTAATTCAAGACTAATTATGTAAGTATTATTATATTGTTAAAAAAAAAAAAAAACAAAACAAAACAAATTTTTATTTATAATAATTTTGAGTTTTACCGGTATTTTTATTCTTCCCCCTCTTTCTCTCTCTCTCTCTCTTTCTTTCTCTTTCTCTTTCTCTTTTTCTGTCTCTCTTTCTCTCTCTCTCGGACCACATTAAATTTTTTAAAATTATTTTGTATGGATTTGCAGGGGGAAAAAAATGTTAAATTTCAATCAAGTTTCAAATTCAAATTTTTTTAATTTTAACGGTTAATAATAGTAATAGTAATAGTAATAATAATAATAATAATAATAAATAATGTTTGTTTGTCCTTTGCGAATCAAATGTCATTAATTTATAAAAATGAAAACATTGAAATGACAGTAAAAGTAGGGGAAAGTGCGAGCGGCGTCGGAGATTCTTGGCGGCGTCAGTTGCGAAAAATAACAAAAAAAAAAAAAAAAAAAAAAAAAAAAGCAGAAGAAAAATGAAGAAAGGAGGAGCCGCCGAATGGACTAGGATACCCGACGAGACTTAACTAAGACTCTTGTTGTTGTTGTTGTTGTAGTTACATTTGTGGCGTCAAATATCTTCTTCATATGAAATCATCTTCATCCATAACATTTTTCAAAAAAAAAAAAAAAAAAAAAAAAAAAATGGGGAAAAGAAACTAGAATTTTAACCGTAATAAACTTTTGTTAAAAAAAAAAAAAAAAGCAATAATATTTAAAAAGAGAGAGAGAAAGAGAGTGAGAGGGAAGGAGAGAGAGAGAGGAAAAGTCAATTTATAAACGACATATCAAAAATTGAAAATTTATTATTGAATTCAAAAAGGAAAAAAGGAAAGGTTTTGATTATGTTAAAATTGCAATATAAGAAAATTATTGAAAAAAAAAAAAAAAAATTTTTCCGGTTCGATAAAAAAAAGAAAAATTATTATTATTATTATTATTATTATTATTATTATTTTGTTTTTGTCCCCCGAAAATAAATATCATTTACGATGTTGACGGTATGAAAAAAAAAAAATAGGATGGAGATTATTTTCATCTTCCCACCCACTCATCCACCCACCTCCCACCTCTCCCCCCTTCTTCCTCCTCCCCCCTCCCTCCCCCTGTTTACCCTTTTGTCCCTTAACGGAAGGTGGCAAAATATAAATTAGTCGTAGAAGACGAGTAACGAACCAAGGAGGCACCACGGAAACAAGAAAGGGCGCCTGCCGTTTAACGACATCTCAAAATCTTCAAACGTCGCGACGTATGTCGAATAATGACGCCTGTTTTTCAAATAGACTTAAGGGCGACACCAAAGATATTCCTCAACTTCTTCTTCTTCTTCTCCAAGGAACTTCCTCGAGAGATGTGGCATTTTTTTTTATTAATATTAATATTAATAATAATAATACATTCGGTTTAGTTCGCATTTATCATTTAATATTTATTAATATGTATTTTATTAAAAAAAAACTTTTTTTTTCCAACGTAATTATCATGTTTTTGTAAATAAACAACAAATCGGCGCCATTTTTTATTTTAAATCCTTGGTGATTTTTTCATTAAGGGTAATTAATTGTTTTTTTTAAATACAATAATAATAATAATAATAATTATATTATCAAATTTTAAATAAAAAATGGCGCTTGCTTGTTTATTATTGTATTTTTATATTATAGAAAAGGGTTGGTTATCATAAAGGGGTTGGTTGTATTATTGTTTATTTTGATTTTGCCGGACTTTGAGTGTGTGTGTATACTCAAATGTCCAAAATGAATTTGTGTTTATATTGTAAATTAACCTCTAGATATTGCATTATTAAAAGGGGCGCCAATAGTCACAGTTGGGGTTGAAACCAGTCTGAAGTCTGAAAGTCGCATTCATGGTGTCTCGTCTCTCATTTTTTGTTTAACAAAAAAAAAAAAATCCCCATTCGTTTAATAACAACAATGACTTTTTCATCTTTTTTCTTTTCCTTTGTGTTTTCCTTTTAGGTTTTTTTTTTCTTCCTTTTTTTTTTTTTTTTTATTAACAAACAAAAATCTGCAACAATAAATGATACATAACGAGGAGTTAACAGTAGTGTTATTTTTACGATTCTATAAATAATTTTTTTTTTTTTTTTTTAATTTTATTTCTACCTTTTAAAAACCTATAAAATTTATTATTATTATTATTATTATTTCTTATTTTATTTTAATGATTTTTAACAGTTTTTCGGTTGTTTTTTTTTATACAACGCGACATTTTCAATTATTTTTCCATCGTTTGTTGTTTATTTTTTTTTTTTTTTAAATATTACATAGGATTTCTCTCTTATTTTTTTTTTTATTTTGTAATACCATAATAAATAATAACACGCTTTGAATTATTTTGTATGTGGGGGAGGGGGAGAGTAAGAAATAATAATTACATGGTAAAAAGGATAGGTAAGTGATGTATGCTCCTCTTCCACGTGTGTCTGCCTCCACTGTGATTTTGGGTAATTTAAAAAAAAAAAAAAATTTTTTTGTTTTTTTTTCAACCGACCGATAGATAAAATCATATAATTTTGCTTCAAAATTCAAAATTTTATAGAATTATTATTTTTTTTTTATCCTCCTCCTCCTCCTCCTCTCTCTCTCCGTCTCCTTTACAAGTAATACTTATTATTATTATTTAATTCCTGAGGGGCGAGGGGGAGGGAAAATCACAAGTTTTCAATGACATGTTCAATGACATGGTCGCGATGTTATTATAATAACTACTACCAGCATGGTTTAAATAATTATGGTGGAGGTTAGGATCAGACCTTTCTTTTTTTTTATTCTTGTTATTATTTCTTTTTGCATTGTTGTTTTATTTTTTTTTTTTTCAGGTACCCAACCAACACTTGCTGTATACTATATACAACATTGAAGAAAATAACTGTAAAAAAAAATTATTTAAATCAATTGGCATGATTGAATTTTATATTTTTAAAATAAGGTCATAAGATTGCATGTGTGTTCATAATGAATGTTTATGCAACAAGTAAAATAATGTTATTCGATAAAAAAAATGTAATGCACACCTGAATATGCTGTGAATACCACGTACCGGACATGACACACGAATGATAATCATAATTGAGGGTATTACCTCATGTCTGGCGCCATCGGTAAGCCTTTGAAGTCAAGAAGGATTGGAACAACCCCTTGGTATAACCTGATTACAATAATATTTGCTATTTTTTAATAAACTCAACAGTTGTGGTTTTATCTTTATCTCACCTGCCTTATTAAACAAGTTATAATAATAATTCATTTATAATTATTGTTGTTTCCTTATAGTTTTCAAAAATATTCCGATGAGAAACTTGAAGTGAAAAATTTGTAAACAAAACGACCGTTAGAAAAAAATAGTCGTGGATTTAGATTTCAAATTTTTGTTTTAAGCGTACGCTTTGTTTTTCAAAATGACTTTTTTATTTTGCATTAATAATATTTTTTAAAAATAATGTGATTATTTGTAATTTTCTACAGATTAATTTGTATTACTTATTAATTTATTAATTATTTGTTAATAATTATCTTTAAAAATACCGTTAGAAAGGAATTTTTTTCAAAACATTAATTTGTTGTGAATATAGGCTTAAAAGTTTTCGGAAAAATTCAACTCAAGTGGTTCATGTGATGATGCCTGTTTGAGCTTTTCCCATTAATTTTAGAAATTCACTTTTAATATTAAGTTTGTTTGTCTATTTTCCTCTATAAAAGAAAAAAAAAAAAATTGTTAAAAATTTTATATATTGTCTTGTTGTTTCATGGCGCCTGGATATTTTAGAAGCTGGGATAACAGGCTCCAGAATAGGGCGACAACATGTTGGCTGTCGGCCATGTTGGACGTCGGCGTCTCCATGCGTCGGACCTCACGTCGCCTCAAATATTTGAAATTTGACCGCAGCTTCTTTATTTAATAATGCCATTAGTTTTTTTATGTCATCATTTTTTCGTAAACAAGAATTTTTACAAATTTACCGAGTAAAAATCCTCCTACCACCTAATAAATAAACAACAACTTAGTGTCTACGCTTTGATACGGCAACCTTATTAACTTTTTTTATTTTCTATTAAAATTATTTAACAAATGACGATAACAATGATTATTATTATTATTATTATTATACAATTTAAAATTTGTTTTTTTCCTTTTTAATTAACGTGATTAATAAAATTTGTTTACTAGGTTTTACCGCGACAATTCGAACAAATAAATGACGTCACCACTTTTAGGTAAACTCAAATTTTTTTTAATGTCGGATGTGGGGTAGGTGATTGAAATAAAAATAAACATAAAATTTAAAATTTAATATTTAATTTAATTAAGTTTTAAACATTTTCATTTGAATTCACGTTTTAAAAATAAAATTTATGCAAAACTCACAAAGATTTGCAATTCCAACGAATAACGGTTCTTAAAAAGCGAAAATATTAATAATTTAACTTCGAAAAAGTATTTTTATAGAAAAAGTAAATAAAAAATTTTAAGATTCTTTATTTAAATTAAATTGTTTTTAAAAGATTTTAAAGTTAAATTAAAAAAAAAAAAAAATTTAATGACTTTAAATAAAAAAAAAAAAAAGTTTTAAAAAAATTAGCAGAAGACCGTTGAAAATTGCGCAGCCGTATTAGAGCGCACTCTGTCGGGGCGCCAGAATAACAATCGTCCGACAATCTTTGACGCCATTTTCGAATGTGAATTTAGTCTGTTTGAGGACGAGCGATCGCAAGGGGTTGTGAAGTGTTGTGTTTAGGTTTTTTCTCTGTGTTTTAGTATTTTTTATATAAATTTAATAAATAGTGGTATTAGCTATTTCTTAAATAATAAAAGGTTCGATAAATAATGTTCACCCGGAGGAATAATGTGATATTGCGATGATTTCAAATATAACTGTGCTATTCAAGTGCCTTTCTACTGTACATTTCAAAAACATAATATGAAATTAAAGTGAATAAAATTTTAATTTTATATGCGCTAGAAATTTCTTTGAAATTTTTTTTTTTTTTTTTTTTAAATATTTATGAACCACGTATGCCTTAGTATTGTTTTATGGGAGCCAACAAATTAAAAAAAAGTAATAAATCGTTTTAGTAATTAATTTTGCGTGAAACAACTGATATTTCATTTGTATGAAATTGGAAACCGGGAGTGTGATTACCAAAATCGTGTTATGGTGTACCATTTTAAATCAAAAAACCTCAAGATTCTTTTACATTATTGTGATTTATCAAAATTTTTGTTTTTATTGTTTGGAAATTGGCGAAGTGGCCTCGCAATCCAGATGCGTCAGACAAACTATAAGGTTCATGTTTCGGAGCAAGCGAACCTCATTGATTAAACGTTTGTGGAAATTAAGGATTAAAAACGAGCATGAAACCTCATGTCAAACTCAAGAGTTTGACCTGGAACCTGATGGTTGTCTTTCTAATATCGATGCCAGTAGTGAGGGCTGTGGATGTTGCAATAGTAGAGCCAGTCGAACTGAAATTCTAGTGAGAACTAACTTATTAAAGAAATTGGAAGAGCATCAGTTGGAAATGTTAATTCAGGCTGTCGAAAGTAAAGGAGCTGATTTATCAGCATGCATTTTGTTACCTCGAGACATTGTCGGAACTGCAGATGTTGATCCTCATGTACTGTCTTGTCAAGTGTGGAGATGGCCTGGCTTACGAGAATCTTCACAAATAAGAAGACTGCCAGGTTGTTGCTCTTCAAAGGATGCAGTGTATACATGCCTTAACCCCTATCACTGGAGTAGATTGTGTCAGCCAGGTAAGTTATCAAAACAATTATTTTTTAAATTAGATAATTATTTTTTTTTTTTTAAGCTTTTTTTTTTCACAACAGATAATATTCAAAATTTATTGTAATTTATGATTCATGAGAGTTTTAAAAACTATTAGATTAGAAACTAATCAATTCTTTAATCAGTTACAAAAAGATTTATCCATATTAAATGTGGGTAAAATAGATATGCGATTGTCATCACAATATTTTTTAAAATTGTGGCAACTTATTTCTGTTGTTCTTTCGATATTCATTTTAATTTCTTATTGTTTGCAAGTGCACATGATAGTATTTGTGTTTCGAACAAGTAATTTTCTTTGCATTAATCAATTAATTGTTTTAATTTCCAAATGTGTATTATAAATAAATAATAATAATAATAATGAACAACTATGAAGTAAGGAACAAGTTCTTAGTTTCTAAATATTTAATAATTATTCTAAATAGAATACCAAAATTTTCAATTTAAAAAAAAAAACAAAATTCGTTACATTACAACAAATTAATTACAATTAATGTAAAATAATAATACTCGGTGCAGTGGCGCAAAAAAAAAAAAAAGAAAAATTGCTTTTAAAAGCGTTTCCTTAAAGAAGGCCTTCCGGTTCCGTCAACATACATACCAGAGAAAGAAAATTTATTTTTAAATGACTGCTTAAAGGCAATATAAAGGTCACGTAATGTAGTCTTTTTATATTTGAAGACGTCGTGGATTACACTTTTTATTTTTTATTTTTCGAAAGAATTCCGATTTTTGGGAGTATTTTTTTTTTCTTTTTTTTTCCTCTCTTCTCTTTAATTTGATTTCTTTTTAAAAACGCGTACTAACTATCAAAATTTCTACGAAAATTCCTAGACAGATTTTTTTTTTTGGTGTTCCCTCCCTCCCAATGTTTCCATTCTCTTCGATTCTGCCATTTTGATTCGATTGTAAAGAAGGAAAATTAATTTAAATTAATTTTCCAAGTTCGAATTACATATAAAAATTATTATATATCAATCGCACGGTGAACAATTCGTTCGAATAATGGCCGCGTGTAAATTTTTAATGGTATCTCGACACGGAACAATAGTCAGTCTACTTACTTATTTTATAAGAGACCGTAATTTCAGACTCGGGCGGATGTCGGACGGCGCTTGGTTGTTTTTTAATGTTTGTACGAATGGTTGTTTGAATCATCATACAGGTACGCGTTTCCTTTCGTGGCGCCTGCACTACGTAACCCATTAAACAGGATTTTTTTTATTTAAGGGAGCCGACGATCATTTATTATTATTATTATTATTTCGTTCGGTTATCAATTTATTCATATTTTTAATACATTATCACTTTCGTACGATGAAATTAGAAACCTAAAAAATTGTTTGGTATATTCGGTTTGTATTTAAAAAGAGAAAAACGACAACCAATTTCTGTGTGTGAGAGAGAGAGAGAGAAAGGGTTTCAATTACTTTTTTTTCGTTAACGGTTGTACCTATCGCACCGCGGTACCGACAGACGAGTAGGAAACCATTGTCGAATTCGGCCATTTTTTTTTTTTTTTTTTGGAAAATTTTTAAGAAAATGTTGATATGTACATATATATAATAATAATAATACATGAATAATATTTATTTAGAAATCAACAGTGACCTTCTTGTTACTAAACCGATAAAAGCACGCAGACCGTGTGACATTCACACCTCAGTATCGTATTAATGCGGCGCCATTTTATCACGTAATATTTTTAACCATTTTCACGTAATTTTTTTTTTTTTTTTTTTAATGTATTTTAATCGAGTGTATATGGTTGGTTGTTGGTTGTTGTTGTTGTTGTTGTGTTCTTTGACGTGTTCGTTAAAAAAAAAAAAAAAAACATTTATAATGATGATATTTTGGAACTCAAACTTTTAAATTCGTTTACCCTTTTTAACTGCTTACACATAAAATCCGGTTTCATTCATTTGATATCGAATCGAAAAAATAAATAAATAAATAATTTGTGATATAAAAAATAAAAATAAAATATAAAAAAAAAAAAAAAATTGGGCGTTAATTTATATGGAAAAGGAAGTTTTTTTTTTTTTTTTTTTTTCCATATGGGGAACTCAATTTGAAACAATCATTAGCGGCCCCCGGCGGTTTTTTTTTTTTTTTTTTTTTTTTTTTATATAAATGTTTTTTTTTTTCCGAATTAAAAAAAAAAAATCTTTGTCGAATCAATTACGAGTTTAATGTTTTTTTTTTTTTTTAATAACTTTATAGTTTTTTTTTTTTTTTTTTTAATTTACTCTTCGATTATGAGAATGGATCGAATGGATGTTTTAAATTGTGAATGAATAATAACTGAATTAACTCGTTAAGGAGGAGAGTACATGAAGAAAGTTGGTAATGATTTTTTTGTAGCGTAAAACGTTTGTTTTTGTTTTTTTGTTTGTTTCTGTCTTTCTCATTTGAAAATTAAATTACCGATCGGGTTTCAAATATTTTTATCGAGTACTTAAACTGCGACGATTCTTCTCGAACGTTCCAATCGCTCGTACGAATGTTAATAATGGTGGTTGAAAAACTAAACATATCAAATCCAATAAAAAAAGAAAAAGGAAAAAAAAACGACAGCTGAATAAAATTTCTTTGTTGTTTGTTACTTTGCCCGGGGCGGGGGGGGAGAGGGGGTTCGTAAATAATTCGTTTAAAAAGAAAAGAAAGGAAAGGAAAAAAAAAAACCGCGTGTTCAGTTGGTAGAGGATTAGAGAACGTCGTGTAAGGAGGAGGAAATGTGCATATGTATATTTAACGTCTAGGAAATGTGTATATTATCTACACCTGCTGCATCTTTACAACTACACTCCTACGGTGTAGTTGTCTTGGCGCCTTCGGTTACAAAAAAAAAAAAAAAAATCCTTGAAAAATTACTTTCAAGTCCTCCCGTGAAAATCGATTCAACATCCATTTTTCACTTAACCTTTTATATATTTATGTGTGTGTGTGTATAATACTTTGATTATCGGTTCGAATTTTTTTTTGTTTTTTTTTTTTTTTTGTTCACGTTTTCACGTGTCGGAGCGGAAACAAACAAAGAAAGAAGGAAAGGGGGAGGAGAGAGAGAGAGAGAAGGGGGGGTGGTATGTGTGTGTGTGAAATTCAGTTGTCGTCAGTTATACAAAAGGACAAATTGAAAGATATTGTGGTGGTACCGTTGTTGTTGTTGTTGTGTAAACAGTGTTGAAGTTACGAGGTTAAAAATGAAAATATGAAACGAATAGATAGATACATAATAGCATATTGATATCTAAGCGAGACTGTCTGCCTGTCTGCCAGTCTGCCTTGAATTCAGTTTCAGCCTGGTGTCTCTGTCCGCCTGACGACCCACCTTCGTCATGGCGCCAACCGAGGTAATTACGTCTCAATATGAAGGCGATTCATATCGGGGCAATGTCATGAATTTAAAGGGGGAAAAAAAAAAAAAAAAAAAAAAAAAATTTCTTTTTCTTACTTGCTCTGGTGGAATTTCTAGTTTTTTTTTTTCTTTTTTTTTTTTGCTAATCTTATTTATATTTTAAACCATATCGTCGAATACCGTTACCATTGTCTCATTAATTTTACTTTCTGAAATATTTGAAATGAAAAAAAAAAAAAAAAATGGCATTCTCTTTATTCATTGTGTTTAATAATTCATTTTGAACCCCCCCCCCTCCCGTCTGTCGAATCAACCGATAAATTCACGATAAAATTTCTCCATCGAAAATTATAGTAAATTCACAAAAGAAATAAATAAATAAATAAAAAATTCATGAATGAATGATTATCGATTTTTTAATAATTTCCGGGAATTAATTTGAATGATTGAATTTATTTTGAACGCATTTATTTGGGCAAATTTGGGTTACGCGGATGGAAAATGTTCGAATGAAGTTCGAAGAGAAGAATCAAGTGGAAAAGTTTTGGGGAAATTTTTTTTTTTTTTTTTATATTTTATTTCTTTATTTAACACGTGCATTTGTTTTTTTTTTTCTTTCCTCTCGATTATCAACGTTATCATTTTTTGCAGTCGAGTGAAAATTAGTGACGACGACGACAATTATTATTTTTTGAATTCGTTGATGATGATGATGATGATGATGGTGGAGGTACAGTCGTTAAAATTTTAAATTTGAAAACAAATTTTTTTTTTGGACTGGAGTCTCCTTACGTGCAAAAGAAAAAAAAAAAATGACGAAATGTTTATTTAAATAAGACTTGCGTTGTGAGGAAATTGATTGTAAAAGTGATTGACTGATTGACTGATTGACTGACTGACTGACATTTTACGACTTATTCGGGGGGTTGAATCGGTTAAAAAATAATAATAATAATAATAAATAAATAGAAAAATTTAAAAAAAAAAAAAGTTAAATGATTGTCGCCGGATGAAGTACAAAAGGTCAAGAATTCTGTGTTGTGTGGCGCCAAGGCAAGTCGCTTTTCACGTACATTCTTAAAATAACTCACTTTGCGTTATTAAACGAATTGAAATAAGGTCATCTTATAGTTATGATTTTTGTTTTTAAAAAAAAAAAATTCAAACTAACCCTAGTTAAAAAGTAAAAAAATAAGACCCGAAATGACTGACGGTTATTCCAAAAAGTTTTTAATTTTTTTTTTTTTTTAAAAACAAAAAAAAAAATTCCGACCACACTAATTTTAGGTTTAAAATTTGGGGGGTTAGTACCTAGTAGATACGTTTGGTGCATTTTTGATTATTCCAAACCAAAAAAAAAGGAAAAAAGGCATCGCGTTTTTATACGAAACAACAAACGACACGAAATTTTGTTGTTGTTGTTGTTGTTGTTATGTATTCTATCGTTTTTTGATTATTTATTTTGAATTTAAATTTGTCCGATTTGTTGTTGTTAGAATCATTTTGCGACGTTGGAAATTTTTTATAAATTTTTCATTCATAAAAATTTTTTAGTAAACATGATGGAGTTGTTATTCGAAAACTGTGGGGGGGGGGGAAAATTAAACGATTTTTCATTCGATTTTTTTTTTTATTTATTTATTTATAGAACGGAAATTCGAGTCTCGATATAAAAAAGGGGTGATGGCAAATTAAATGGCTCGTATACCATGGCGGATGTAGTAAATTTGAGTTGTATGTGAAAATATTTTTCATAACTCGTTCACGGTTTTAAGGTTTTGAAATTTTTTTTTTTTTTTTTTTTTTTGCATTTTAAAATTGTTGTTTTCGTTTGTCGTATTTAAATAAGCAAAGACCCAGTTTGCAAAATGAAAGAATCAAATGAATGGCAGAACGTTAGCATAAAACGTTAGGAGAAAATGATTTTGAAAAAAAAAATAATAATAATAATAAATAAATAAATAGCATGAATTGACAAGTTTTGTTTTTTTTTTTTCGAATATATATATTAAAGCCGTTTCGAATTTGAACAATGCTGTGCAATCAAAAGATTTTTTTTTTTTTTGCAATTCGTCAAGAGTTTTGATTGGAGAAGAAGGAAGGTAGCTGAGTTTTCAATATTTATTTGATTTTTTCTTTTTTTTTTTTTTTTTTTTTTTTTTTTCGTTCGATTTAATTTTTAAGTCGAGTATTCTCAATACTAGAACGTAAATTTCGATTGTGATGAAAGGTGTAAAATTTCAGTTTTAAAATAAATAAATATAAGTAAATTTGTATATATATATAGTCTTAGGAAAGTTCTTTTTTTGCACTTGGTCATTTATTAAATCGGAAAATGTGGGAAAATTTTTTATTTCGTATAAAAAGGGTAAAAAAATAAAGTCATGCTACCATGGCATTTATATTTATTTATTTTATTTTTTTTTTTTATTATTTTTATTTTGTTTTTTGTTTTTTATTTTTGTTTTTGTTTTTGTTTTTTTTTTTTTTTTAGAATCGCCTCCTCCACCGTATTGTAGGTTCGCTAGCGAGTGTTTAAAACCTGAAGGTAAGCTTTTTATTTATTTATTTTAATTATTTTTTGAATGAATGATTGAGTGAATGATTGAATGAATGAATGATGAATGAATGAGTAAACTATTGTTAATAACAATTACATTTTCAATATTTTTAACACTCGTATACCTTATAGTTTTTTTTTTCAACGCGTCGCTTCCGTTTATTTTTTCTTTTTTATGTATTTTATCGACGATGAAATTTCTCATCGAGTTTTATTATTATTATTATTATTATTATTATTATTATTATTATTATTATTATTATTATTATTATTTTACGAATAGGTGCGAATTATTCGAGGAAAAATTTTTTTTTTAGAAAAGGGGGTTTCCCTGGAGGAGGGAGAAGGGGGAAGAGGAGGGAGGGAGGGAAGGTTTTATTATTAATAATAATAATAATAATAATAATAATAATAATAATAATTCGTTATGAAAATTTCAAACGAAATTTAACCTTCTTTTTTCTTCTTACTATTATTTAATAACGATTTAATTGATTTTATCGCCATGTTTTTAGTCTGATTGTTTATTATTATTATTATTATTATTATTTGTAATAATGATAGGCATTCATTGATAAAAATTGTTTGTCGTTGTTTTTGTCAACTGTTTGCATGTATGTGTATGCATATAAATATATTGGCTAAATATAGAGTCGTTCGACAAGACTTTATTCATGTTTGGATTTAACAACTAATGTCGTCCTCATGATTTGTTATAATTGAATTGTATAAAAATAGATTCATCTTCTTCGCGTTTAATAATAATAATGATAATTAATTCATTCGGTCTTACATCCGAACAGGAAATATCATACATTATAAGTTTTTGCCGCTTTTCTTTTCTATACCTTGAGATTTTTGTAATGGAAAAAGGAAAAACGCGTGATTGTGGGCAAAATTTCCTTTTATTCTTGAAGGTGAATTGAACGACATAAAATTTTAATATATAAGCGCGTCGAATCGTTTTTAACAAATTAAAAAAAATTTTTTTTTTTTTTTTTTTTTTTGGAAGATTTTGAATCGTTTAAACGGAAAAAAAATGTGTGTGCGTGTGCGTGTGCGTGCTTGTGTGTATATACACCAATGAATTAACGAATGAATAAAACGAACAACATTGAATAATAAAGGAGAGCATTAAATTTTGTTTACTTTTCATATATATATATAACAAACGCGAGTGTGAGTTTATGTTTTAAAAGACTTAAAAAAAGCTCAGGCCCGGATTCTCGAAATTTAAACAAGAAAAAAAAAAAACAGAAAAAACAGAAAATAGTTTAAAAACGTTGTTTATGCTTTACAATTTTTTTTTTTTGTAAAGACTGCGAAAACTCGGAAAATTGCATCACATTTAAATGCATTTTATATTACACTGAGAAGAAAAAAATTTTTTTTTTTTTTTTTGTATTTAATTGAGTTAATTATTCGAAACGGTCGTGGATTTGATGTTATTAAAAAAATCCAACCTCAACAACTTCCTTCTTCTTGTTGTTGTTGTTTGCTTTCTTTCTTTCATTTAAAATTGTTTAACCTTTTAATGGCAGGAGGGATGATGATGCGCTATGTGGGGTGTGTGTGTGTGCGTGTGCGTGTGCGTGTGCTGATGAAAGTCGAACGTTAAATTTTAAAATTTGTACAAATTCGAATATTAATTAAAAAAATTGTTTTGCCAAAGAAATTGAAAACGATGGAAAACTGGCACTCAAATTAAAAAAAAAAAATTTATGTATGTATGTGTATGTTAGATGTAGGACAAAGTCACTATCAATAATAATAATAATAATAATAATAATAATAATAATAATAATAATAATAATAATAATAATAATAATAATGTATCATTCAAATTTTATTGCTTTACTTATATTACTGTGTAAAAAAAAAAACACGAATGCAGTATGTTCATTTCTTGTTAATAATAATAATAATAATAATAATAATAATAATAATAATAATAATAATAATAATAATAATAATAATAATAATAATAAGCATGATGTCATTAGGCGCCAGTCCGCCAGTTGACTGGTCTTCTTCATTTAACTTAACAGGAGCGGTTTTAATTGTTCATTACATGTTGCATTAAAGAGCTTTTTTCAATTTTCCTAAAAAAAAAAAATGAAAAAAAAAAACTAAAAAGTCGTTTGAGTGTGACGCTCACCCCTTCCTCCCCTCCCCTCCCTCGCCTTTCCCCCCACGAGACCTCCACGTTTTAAATAAATACGCAATAATTTTAAATTATTATTATTATTATTATTATTATTTTTTTTTATTAAATGGCTAATAAACCATAATCCGATAAACAGGAGTTTTGCATTTGTTCCCTTATGTATTTATTTATTTTTTTTATTTCATATAAAAAAAAAAAAAAAAATGGAATAATAATAAAATAAATTGTGAACTTGTTTACAATGTGTAAATTGTGTAAACTAACTAACTTTAAAATCAAATCTCTATCATTTCACAAAACAGAAACGCGGGGGAGGGGGGGGAGGGGAAAACTTGTTTTAACAGTAATTTCCCATTAATTTATTAACAATTTTTTTTTACATGTATTTTCATTTTTTTTTTTTTTTTTTTGAAAAAATGATTTGTGTGCATCAGTTTTTATTTTTTTAAAGTGTATATACGTGCAGGAAGGTTGGTTGTTGTTGGTGGTGGTGGTGGTACGATTGGTTTGTGTGTGTGTGTGTGCGTGTCTGGTAATGGGAAAACGGTAAAAAGTGAAAAATTTTGTAAAAGCCAAGAATTTGTTTGTTTTTTTTTTTTTTCACGACAGTATAGCAGAAAGAAAATTTTTTTTTTTACTTATTTTATTTTAGTAACAGCAGCGGCATGCAAGGCATCACACACACACACATAATTTTCTGCCATGAAGTTGTCAGTGATTTTCATCGGGGGGTAGGGGGAGGGGAGGGGGGAAACATGCAACTTTTATAAGCGCCAATCCGGCGTCTGCTCTCTCTCTCTCTCTCTCTCTCTCTCTCTCACTCTTCCAATTTTATGCACTATTTGACGTGTACTGCTTTTTTTTTTTTTTTTTTTAAATTTTTCTTCTTTGCTCTTCTTCTTTATGTTACAAAAAAAAAATTGCTCTAAATATTTCGTGTATTTATTTTATTTTAACGTGTTAACTATGTACTGTTAATAATAATAATAATAATAGTTTTTGATGATCGCTGTAAAATCGGGTAAAAATGTTTTTTTCGAATTTTGACGAATGAATTGAGGGGGGGGGGGGAAAAACGGATAATGGATTCCGGTGGAAAAAAAAAAACTCTGACTCATTTCGAAAGGAAAAAATTATATTTATTTTAATCGTCGAACAACAATTTGAAATAGCCTCGAAAACGAAAGAAGTATAGAGGAGAATCATCATTATACGTTGCTATACTTTGATTTTTGCCATTAAAACGATTATTATTATTATTATTATTATTATTATTATTATTATTATTATTATTATTATTATTATTATTCTTTTTCACTTTTATAAAATTCCTCGAGAGTAATTTTTTTTTTTTTTTTTTAGTTTCTAATTTATCTGTTGTTGTAGAACAACAAATGTAATAAAAATACCCACTTTACGATTGAATTTCCCTTAGAGCTCAAATTAAAAAATTCTCTGCATTGTTTTTTTTAAGGTTCTCTTTTTCGTATTTCTATTTGCCCCGAAGGTATTAAAAAAAAAAAAAATTTTTTTTTTCCTTCTTATTTTCGAAGGCAAAAAAAAAAAAAATTCTTCCTCGGCTGACTGGCTGACTGGCTGGCTGACATTGTTTTACTCATTTTTATTTCTTGCGAATTCGATAATATTCGGTTACTTTAAAAAAAAAAAAAAAACAAAAAAAAAATTGACTTATTGATTATTGATTATTGATTATTGAACCGTCTAACCTTTAAATTTTGATTTGCGTTTATCAGGGGAAATTGTTGGGAATGTTTGTATTGGTCGGCCATCTTTATTAATTATTTTTTAATTTTTTATTTTATTTTCAGATCGAGCACCCAGCGAAGGAGATTGTTGTAATCCATTGAGAGAAAATTTGTACCTGGGATCGCTCACGACAAACGGCGAAGGTAAGTGATAAGAAAATACCTTTTATTTTTAGATTTACGTATGTCTGTATGTGTGAACGAGCGTGTTATTATTATTATTATTATGAAACGGATTTTTTTTGCATTATTTTCTGGTATAACAAAATAATGCAAAAAAAAAAGAAATACGTTTGTCGACGACGACGACGACGACGATGACGATTATTCATTGTTGTTTGCATTGATAGTTGCTATTTTAAGAGTGAGTCCGGTTGATTGAGGACGATGGTGGTGGCGATGGTGGTAGTAGTGGTAGTGGTGGTGGTGGTGGTGAGTCGGAAAGAAAATAAAATAATGAGCTACCATTTGACTTTGCGTTTCGGACACATACTAATTTTATTAAAAACAGAATAGCATGGAATTTATCTGTGAAGTTAGTTGGATGGAAGGTACCTTGGTCACCTTGAGAAATCCACTTCTTGTACACTTGCTTTGATGGGCTTGGTTGGCATCTTTCACGTACGGCGTGTGTGTGTATACATGTACATGTATACCTGCATTGTTTTCCCTACAGTTAATTAAATACCTTTTAAATCTTTTGCAAAATTACCTTCGAATATCGCATAAGGTTTTCACCACCAAGGTTTTTTTTTATTTTTATTTATTTATTTATTTATTTTTTTAAAGATCTTTCTAACGATTTGTTTGTTTGTTTGTTTGTTTGTTACCTTCGTGGTTTATATTTTCATACGGTGGCATCGTCGAATCGGAATTTTTTTTCTTCTCTTTTTCTCTCTGTTTATTTTTAAACCGGGGGGGGGGGGTTTTATTTCGAACACTACGCTAAAATAAATTGCTCCAATTTAAAAAAAGGGGGGGAGGAGCGGGGGTAGGACGTTTGAGAATGTGATACGGCGGTGCAAATTTTTTTTTTTTTGCTTCATTATCTCTCGAGTCTAATTAAAATGACTTTTCGCCTTATACTATGCTAAATACGAATTATAAAATAATTATAGGGTCTCTCTCTCTCTCTCTTTCTCGAGTTATGATGCAATAAAAACATGGTTCGGCGGCTTTTTTTTTTTTAATATTTTTTTTTATATACAAAAGGAATCGTCATTCGGGTCACAGAGTAATAATAATTACGACGGACGGTTTGAATTAATAAAAATTTTCGTAACGAAAAAAAAAGGAGGAAGAAACAAAGGGGGCGGGGGAGGAGTGTAATAATGAAAAGCGAAGGTTTTCGTACCGTAATGTAAAATTGCTTTACTCAAATTTTCTTTTTTTTTTTTTTTTTTTACCGTTTGATCGATGGTCAGGAAGAGGAAAGAGACGGCATAATTTCATGTTTGTTTGTTTGTTTGTTTGTTTGTTATTTCAGGTTTTGTTTTTTTTTTAAATCGATTATTAGTCTACGTTTTTATTAAAAAAAAAAAAAAAAAAACTTTAATTTCCGGTGGTTTAAAAGAGGAAGGGGAGGGGAGGAAAACGACGACAACATTTATGTCTTGTTAAACGTTTGTAATTCACTCGTAAA